CTTTTTATGGTATTGTGAGAGTTCATCAATACCATAAAAGAAATGTTCCATTTCTTGCAGGATATTGTGGCAGGACTGTTTCTCCTGGTACATTTACTGAATATTCCTTTGAATTACCGTCAAGTATTAGGTATTTTTATATGCTTTTTTTCAACACAAGAAGTCCCGTCTGCTTCTACTCTCACGGTATTGTGTAATAAACGGTTGAAGTTGGAAAGCAGCCTTTCCCAACCTGGCATCTTTCAGATTTATTGGAATACAATTCCTACAACTCCATATACAGTAACTGAGAGTCACTGGATTGCAAAACGTTGAGGAGGATTATCGAGACTTGTTTGAGCTAGTTCCATATATAGAATAAGGAAGATGACCTTGATAGAAATAGATAATCTGCTATCAAAGAAACGAAAGAAAACATAGCTTAAGTACAAAACAAGTACAAAATATGCACAGGCAGTTCAAAGAGATACCTCTCTAATTCACATAGTATAAGAAAGGACGGAGGCACAGCCCAGCACAATCAGACTGTCAAGATTGTGTTATTATAGTCATTCTCACCAGTGGTGGGTTCCAACCGGTGTTACCACCAGTTCTCTTCGCGCATGCGTTTTGCCCACGATCGCCGTGCGCATGCTAGCTTCCGTCACACGCGTGACTAAGTTGCACTCTGTGCAAGTGCAATATAATTCTGCCCAGCTGAGGTGCAGCAATCCACTCTGCCGCGCCTATCAGCTGGGCTAAAAAACAACAAATAAAGGTAGGTATAACACGGGGGCAGGTGGGAGGGCCCAGCTCACAGTCATAGAGAACTGGTTCGCTGACATCACATCATCACCACTACTGGCTTGCCCGAACTGGCCCAAATCAGGAGCAACCCACCACTGATTCTCACCCAAAAATAGTTCCAGATTTTCTGTGAAATTGATTTTATGTTTGGTCTACCTAGTGGGACTGACGTCAGCAAAAGAGTTGGAGAATGCTTCCATCAGCTGCACAATTTAAATCTACAAAATGATTTTTGCTTTATTATTATTATTTTTAATAGAAAGCCCGATGTAGAGTGTGCACAAAGCAAACTCAGTTTACTTCCTCTGCATTCATTTAATTACATTTATTTATTAGTGCGAATGTTCCACCAGTTCCTTCTGACTTTTGATTGAGGGATACACTGTCCTTCACTAGTATTTCTGAAAGTTTACCTCACTTAAGATCATGCTATAAAGTGATCTGGCAGAAGATACGGTATGAAGCTACCAAGTGTGTTGCATCCCCATATTGTTTATCCACTAGTGATAGTGGAAAATAAGGAACAGTGAAAGTGAATATACATAATGATGTCCTTTGTGAGCCTCAATGGCTAGAATCATATTAGGATGCATATCTTGCAATAATAGGATTTCTGCCTATTCTAATGGAATTTTATACAAAAAGTGTTTTGTGGGTTGAGGTATACAAGATCCCTGAATTATGTTCTTCCTTTTTGCTTTCTACAAGGAAATTACATGAATCTCTTTGATAAGAGGCAGGAACTCTTTCCCTTTCCCGAGAAAAGTGTGTTTTTCTCTCTGGGCATGTATTTCTTCTTCCCGCCTTAAGAATTCAACTACATTGTGTTATTCTTTTGAACCTTGGCTTCATCTGTTGGCACGGCAACACTTCTGCATGGATCTGTGAAATCTTGTGAATAAGCCAGTCATCAGCAGTTCATTAACACAACTTCTGGGTAGATTTTTTTTTTAAGCACATGGGCACATTAAGGGATCATGCAATTCAGATTAAGGCCCCCTGTGGTGTTTCCCATAGTTCATTCGGCATCAGCTTTTAATTGGTATTACGGCATGAAGCCTCATTGGAAAATATTCGGGACAATTAGACACCTGCCCACAGAACCTAAAAGATAAATGCCCCTTTGAAAATGCGTAGAGTTAGACTTCCAAAATATACATCACTGTGTCCTAGGTCATCTAGCCACAGAATTTTCATTCTTTGAATACAGTACCAGCTGATCTGTACTATATTTGCATAGAATTGCTTCAGCATGGTTTCAAATCCTGCAGCTATATATTACGTTTGGAACATAAAAATTAACATGCTTGGTGCTAAACTCATGTAGTAGGAACACAAAATAAAAGTTTGCTTCCCAGTTTGGTCAAAATTAGTTGACATAGAAAAAGACATGATTTTTTTTATATACAAAAAGATAGAAAATAATATGGCTGGTTGTAATTAGAAAAAACAAACCCTCCACTGTTTATTTCTGATGTATGTTTAATGTCCAGATGGCACTTCTAAGCCTAACCATCCTTATCTGTAGAAACACACCAATACATGTTCCTTTTCAGTAAGGTGAAAAGATATTAATGTTAGATATTAATGTTCACCTTATCTATGAGAAAGATAGTAGAGACGCTTAACCAGGGGTGAAATGCTCCCGGTTCAGACCGGATCAACCGATCTGGTAGCGATGGCGGCGGGTGGTTCGGAGAATCGGTAGCAAACATCCCTGCCCCCCCTGCCCATGCCCACCCAATCGCCTGGTCGCCTGCTTCTTTTAAAAAATGCTTTTAAAAGGTAAAAAAAAGGCTCTGACGATCACAGCTGATCCGCGCGATCGTCAGAGCCTTTTTTTTTACTTTTAAAAGCACTTTTTTACAGCCTATTCGGCCGAATGGGTTGTAAAAAATGCTTTTAAAAGTAAAAAAAAAAGATTGTGCACCACAGCTGATCACCCTGCCCCCGCGCGCTGTTCTACTTACCCCATGCCTCCTTTTGGCATGCTCTGAGCTTGCACGTGTACATCGCATTTGGTGCGTGGTGCACACTGCGCATGCATGCGTGCAGTGCGCATACGCAGCCGGCGAACCAGTAGTAACCCGGTTCAGATTTCACCACTGCACTTAACCACTGCTCATCAATGTAATCTGCATCTATATTCAGCAATACCAGCAGTATTCAGCCAGTTCAGATCCATTCGGACGAATTGGTAGTGGTGACCACTGGGTGGCCCCGCCCGCACCCACCCCACCATGACGCTATGCCATCCTATTTAGCCACATTTTCTAAGTCGTGTGGATGCATGCAAGCCGCACGGCCAAGTAAAGCACGTGCGCAAAAGGCTTTGCGCATGCACGCTCTCACATTTTTGGTGCACAGCGAACCGGTGGTAAAATTATGTGAAGCCCACCTCTGAATAGCAGGCCATCTCATCTTTAGAACCATGAGATATAAAAAGAAATGTCAAGAAAATCTAAAATAAGAAATCATATGTAAAATAAGTCCTATAATAAAATATGCTGATATGTTTGCTTAATTGGTGTTATTAATGAAAAAAAAAGTCTTGAGTGACATTATTAGTAGAATATGTCATTATCACTACTGTGGTAGAAGCAAAGGCTGCTGGATTGTCGAAACATGATCCATCAGGCAACCTTATCCTTCTCCCAGCAAGGAAATTACATAACTGTCATGAATGAGCTAGCAAGCCCCCAAGCTACATTCCCTGACAGCCAGGCTCATCTGAGTTTCAATCCCTATTCAAAGCCCACTGAGGCACAATTTGGGATCATGTAGGCAGGAAGATTATCTCCAAACCTCTCCCTTTCTACTGGAATGAAAATGGTTTTGTCTTTTTAAAAACAAAATTCAGAAGCTGGGAACCAAAGCTGAGATGAGAAATGGAGGTTCATTCCGTCTCTGCAATAGCCTCAGAATTCACTGACAGAAATCCGCAAGGATCTGGCCAGAAAATAAGGAAATAATTGAGATCAGGAGAGAAAATTGAGATAAATTGAGATAGAGGGAAACTATTTCAGGAAACATTATTTCTAAAAATATAGACAGAACATTTGGCTGGAAATATTGCATGAAACTATTTTTATTGTGTGTGCCTAAGTCTGAACTTTTTTCCCTCCTCTGGTATTTATTTTCTCAGTACAAGTTCAGATCTTGTGATTATGCAAATTAACACCTTCTTACATCAGAGTTGCCTCAAAGTTAGAAGCAAACCAATATCACTTTGCAGTTTCTAAAACTTTTTTATTTTTCATTGGGAAATTCTTTTAAATCACCATATGTGATTTGAATAGCACTATATCCTCTTTGCCACTGCTTGTTTTGCACATGACTATTTAAAAAAGTTTTAAGTAAATATTTATTTATTTTTTCTTAAAACAAAATTTGATTTTATCTTATTTCTTGTGAGATGGGTTTATTTCCCAAGAATAGGGAAGGCTGACTTCGTGAGCTACATTACTGAATGCTACAGGATCAATAAGTGGCACTATTTCATTACCGTAGTTTAATTTTGTTCTCTTTTTTTTTTTTAATTTGGCAGAAAAGCAACATCAGTTGTGTGGTCATTATTTCTCTTACACATCAGGGGTAGAGAGGATTGTCGATCTTTTGAGGTAGACCAGCCTAGGAAACCAAAGTCATTCATGCTAATACTACTTTTATTATAAATTTACTGTAACAGAATCTTGCAAACATGAACACATAGGATATGTTCTTTTTACTAACCTCAAAAAAACTAAAAAACCCTTACCCATTGAAATGCTACTCCTGCATAGACTATGAGATAGCTATGAACAATTATTTCCAATTTCTGTCTCTGAACATTTACTTTTGCTTGTTGGGAACTCGAAGTATAAAAACGTAAGGTACAAAAGTTGATACTGATAATGTGCCATCGGGATATTGAATATTTTTTTAAAATGAACTGAATATTTGAGAACATTCTTGTAATCAACTATAATAGATAGCTTAGAAAGGATAGCCTGAAGTATGTCTCCAGTCCAAGGAATTCGTGGATCTTCCTATAACAAGGACACAATTTAGTAACAAGGTTTGTGTGATCGAATGGAAGCAAACAGTACAATGTGGAAGAAAGAAAGTATGAGAAAATCCTGAAGAAAGAATACTCAGAACACTAATGTTTATATTTATTTTAAAGTTTAACAGGGACAGACAGCGATGTAGCAAAACCAATTAAGAATCTGTGACACTAGCACATTTATTACTGCATAAGCTTTTAACATCAAACAGCTGAGCTAGAAGTCATTCAGACAGTTAACATTTCTAACAGTTGCATAATGATAATCATACTGATGTTGACCATCTGATCAAATCAAGGTTGTTTTTGTCACTTTAAATAAAAACAATTAACCTATGATTGAACAGGGTTGCTCCTTACTTTGTAGTAATGTATGAAAGCTAAATGGCTATGTAACCAAAAAATCAATATACTTTAAAGAAAAAACACACACACAAGCACAATAAACCAGATACACAAAATGGTGAAAGAATGAACAAAAACCTATATGATCTAAAGAAAAAAACAGACAGAAAAAGATTAACACTAGAGAAGAAATTGACTTATTTCATCATTACAACTCAATTTTTGATCCATAAATTAAGCCTAGCTCAGTCTTATCTTTTCTGTGGTAGAAAACTTTTAGAATCTGGAACAGTAGCACTTGTTCATGAGCAAATAAAGGAGTGCTTTTGTCATGCCTTAACAACTGTTTTGTTAACGGTCACTATATATAAGATACATTCACTTCTTTTCTCTTTTCCCTCCTCACCACCCAAAACAGCTGCTCAGATACTTCTTTCTCAGTTAGTTAACCCCCAAGAGAGGTAGGCTATGGTCCAGGAAATAGGCAACAGTAAGTGTACTACTACTTAATTCTGATTATACCATAAGAAGTATATTGGTTAGACTAAGTGTTATAAAATTCTTTCTTGCTTTAATAAATGTCAGTGGCTTTGAACTGACTTGTTATTGTGCTTTTAAAATTATGATGTGTTCTAGCAGTTTGGTCTAATTCTTTCAGCTCTTTTATTAGCCTTTCCCCAGGTTATTGCTACCCAAACATGTCCATCAACATATGTGATGTAAAATAAGAGAAATATATTGCGGGGTCATTAGCAGTGGTGGGTTGCCCCCGGTTCAGACCGGTTCGCAAGAACCGGTAGTAAAACTGGCAGGAGGCTCTGCCCACTGACCCAGACATCATCATAGTTGATCTGCGCATGCGCAGAAGAATGTGTGCGGGCACGAGCAAAGCGAGCACGTGCACACGGGCGCAATGTGAACCGGTAGTAAAGGTAAGTAGAACCCACCCCTACTGTGTTAGGGCAACACAGCTTCCTTAATTTGTACCCATGGCACTTCAGAAGTACCTTAAAATATGTATTTAAAGGCTGAAAGAGATCACCAGAGCCCATAAAACTTCACATACTATCTTGCAAGATTTCAGGATTGCTGACATTTCAGCAATTGTTTAAGACTTCCCCAACTTCAGGGAAGTTCTTGTTTGGATTAAAAGGTAATGTATTGTTTCATTTTTTAAAAAAAAATTGGGGGTACTTTTTTTAAACATATTAGCTGATAAAGTTGAATGGCCAGTGTGCTACAGATTGCAAGAATAAATTATAAATAAATTCCAGCTGTTTAACTTTTATCCTATCTTTTTGCACTGATACCACAGCACGAAGTCACACAGTAGCATCCACCACTCAGAAAAGATGCCAACTCCTATGCCAACAGGTGGCCATTCTATTCCTTAAAACATTGTGGATAGAAAGAGTTCTGGGACAGATGGTTATATTTTGAAACAGAAGAGCAGAACAATCAAATTATTGAGAGTTTCCCCAGTCTGTCACAGAGCTATTGTATACCTTTGCAATTCCTCTAAATCTGTTGCATTTCATTCGGAGGCCCCATGAACCCCCTGCCTTTGTAAACGACTCCACAGGACTTAATAGTGCCATGTTCACGTGTGAGTAAACTTGATCCATGTTGCTGACACTTCAGAGAAAGCACGCAAGACCTTCTCTTTGAGTTGTAGAGGCTCCTTATCCCACATATCATGTAAAGATTCGGTCTAGACAAGCTGGATGGGGAGAAATATTGAGCAATTATGTTGCCTCTGGGATTAATATTCCCACCCACAGGCACGCCAGTTCTTCCTTTCTATTAAACATGGAGGTGGGTTTCGCTGAATGGTTTAACCGAATGGTCCATCTCTAAAAGTTGTCCATTAAATGCAAGGGGGATCCCCTGCTAAGTGGCTCTGTCAGGAATGTGGGGAGATTGAAAGGAACAGTAAAAGTGCAGCTGTGACTGAATGCTGCCCGTGTGGTTGCTGACAGCTGGTGGCCCTACTTCATGCTGCTCCCTGTCTGCCATGCAGCCATCTGCTGCAGCTTTCGTGAATGAGTTTTCCCCCTCTCTTTGGGGGGCAGAACAATGGCTTTGGAATTGTGATCTGCATTCCAATGGGCAGATATGTGCAGGCTCACAACAACACACACACACACACACACACCAACACACACCAACACACACACACACTGGGGTAGGGTGATGGGGGTTGGGTTGGGTTGCTGTTCAAAACCAACTTTAACCAACCAACATGCTCTGTTTTGTTAAGTAACACTTTGCTACCCATTTTCCTACTATAAAGTGAAAAGACTCCCATTCCCTTTGACATTTCTGTCCTTTGGTGGTACTGGATCTTTTTGGTTTTTTTTCTTTTAAATCCTTTTGTTTGGGTATTCTTGCCCTCCCATTCTATCTCTACATAGACACTGCTCTAGCTCTCAAAAAAGAGTGTTTAACCTGTTCAGGAAAGCTGATATTTCTATATATTCTATTTTATATTCTAAATGGCAAAGATGGGAAAGCCTACTAGATGCAAAGGTGAATTTAAGATGGACATATTGCAGCTGTGCAATATGGGACAGGGATCTTTAGGGAAAAGTTTCCTGAAAGAGTCATGCTTTTGTGCAATGGATATACCATCCCACCCCCACCCCCACACACACCAGCAAGACAGGGCATTCATTAGGTACATCAGAGAAATGATCAGATGTATTCACAACAATGAAGTGAACTTAAGATAGATCTGGCTAGAAATGCAAGTAGCAGTTGATTAGATGTTTTGTTCTCTGTGGCATCTGATGTTTCGCTTTATTCCGGACCTTTGTTCAATCGAATCAGATTGAATAGGGGGTCATATAGTTTCAATTTTTTTGAAGGAGGGTTGAATGAACTTTTCTTCTCAGTTGAAAATTACAAATTAATCAACATGAAGAGACTTATAAAACAACCATTTGCTCTTGTGAGCCTATTGCCGTGTTACATGAGTAAAGGAAAGTGGAATATAATATGTTAGGATAGATAAATTTATCCACAAACAAAACTATCTTTGAGCCTGAAAAGAACGTGCAAAGCCAACAACCTTCAAACAGTTTGATAGATACAGATTTTGGTAGTGTTTAAAAACAGGGAGTTCTCGACTTGCAGCCGAGAGTCAGCCCAAAATTTCTGTTGCTAAGCAAGACATTTGTTAAGTGAGTTTGGTCCCATTTTATCACCTTTATTGCCACAGTTGTTAAGTGAATCACTGCAGTTATTAAATTAGTAACATGGCTGTTAAGTGAATCTGGTTTTCCCATTGATTTTGCTTGTCAGAAGGTTGCAAAAGGTGATCACTTGATCCCAGGACACTGCAACCACCCTAAATATATGGTTGCAGTGTCATAAATATAAATATACCATCATACATTAGCAACCGACATGTATTTGTGATGCTTGCAGGATCCTGGTATAATGTGATTGCCATTGGTGACCTTCCCAGCTGGCTTCCGACAAGTAAATTCAATAAGGGAAGTGGGATTCGCTTAATGGCCACATGATTCACTTAACAACTGCAGTGATTAACTTAATTGTGGAAAAAAGGTGGTGAAATTCAGTGCTTTTCACTTAACAACTGCCTTGCTTAGCCATGGAAATTCTGATCCCAATTGTCATAAGTCAAGGACTACCTGTGTATGAAAGCAGGATTGTATCTAAGCACTAATTTGGACAGCCCTTTGTTAATAATGATGGCTGTTATATTTTTCTGGATGTTTTTCTTGCCTGCAGTAGAAGATCTGATATTCCTCTGGTGAGAAGTGACCCATTCCAGTTCATTCCAATTCTCTGATTCTCAAGAGTTGTTTTAGTTACATGTAAAGATTCCCTTGAGCTCAGCTTTGGGTTCAAGTAGCTTTCTTGGGAACAATATGGAGATTGTTTTCTACTGGGATTTTGTTTCTTGATTTCTATAGTTAACCTGTGCCTTCAGGAGTTCCTGCTGGTTTCCCATCGAAGATCAGATGAGGTCAGCTTTGCAATACATGCCAAGCACATTTCTAGCACTTATCCCTGGTGTGAGCAAAAGGCAATTCTGTTCATGTATAAATTCCCTAATTCAAGAAGGATTTAAACCAGAAACTTGCAGCTCTCTTTTGCCTTTGGTGATATGTTTGGGTACCTTACTCCAGTGGTGGGATTCAACCGGTTCGCACTATTTCGGGTGAATCAGTTGTTAAATTGCTGGCTGGCTGGCCCTGCCCCTCCCCACACCTCCCCCTCCAGAAGTCTGCCCGCAGCCCGTTTTTGCTTTCAGGGGGGTGCAGGAGGCTGAGTGCTGCCTGTCACACCCCCTGACCACATCCACCATGGCCTCGCCCACCATGGCCATGCCCACCATGGCTATGCCCACCCAGCCTGTCATTAGGGCAGAGAACCAGTTCTTAAATTATTTGAATCCCACCACTGCCTTACTCCAATGAGTAACTATAACCTAGGCATAAATTAACTTGATTTAATTATTTTTTTTATATCTTCAAGTCACTATTGACTTCTGGCATCTGTCTGGACAAGCCTCTGTGGTTTTCTTGGCAGGATTTCAAAATTGGTTTTCCATTGCTTGCTTCCTAGGGCTAAGAGAGTGCAACTGGCCCAAGTAGGCTTTATGGCTAAGGCAGGACTAGAACTCACAGTCTCTCTAACATATGTTATATTTGTTAATTAAATTAAATTAACTTTAATTGAATTAGCTTAATTTAAATTAAACGAATCAACAGTTAATATTATTATTCCCATGCATTTCTGCCACATCAACCTTCAGCTGGGGTTGTGTACCAGTAAACCCAAGTCAAGAAATCTTATCTACTCAAATTGCCTCTAAAGAAACAGAACCTGACCTGTTTCTTCCCTGCCAGCTCCTGAATTCCAGCAATTGACTTTTCTAGCTACAGCACCTTGCATGGTTAATTCCTGATTCCATCTGGGAGTAGGAGTTGAAGGTGCTAGAACAGGAAGGAGAAAAAAGCAGGTAAGGTCTTGGAATTTTGCTTGTTATTATAAGGAAACAAATTCCAGTGTATATTTTAAAATGTATATGCTTCCTATACGATGGAAGCGGTATCACATGATCCCTCTCAACGGGAATCGGATGAATTGAACTTAAGTATTCTGCTGAAACAGACTACTTGACCTTTCCAGATGTTTTGGACTCTCATAGCCCCAATTTTCAATTGGCCAGTGGCAAGAAACCCCAGGAGTTTGTATTTCAAAACACCTGTAGGGCATAAGGCACCAATTCTTGCTTTAGGACAGAGGTGGGCAATTCATTTTCTCAAGGGGCCACAATGAGAAATGGAGACTGTTGTGGAGGACCGAACCAATGTAACCTAACCCATCACACGAGCTCCTCACACTACTCCAGCCAAGGGACAAGAGCTGCACAGGTGCAAGTCTCTCCTTGACCTGCCATGGCTACCAGTGGACTGAAGGAGCTGACTCAGCTTCTTCTCCTGCCCCCTAAGGTAAAGGTTCCCCTCGCATATATGTGCTAGTCATTCCTGACTCTAGGGGGCGGTGCTCATCTCCGTTTGAAAGCCGAAGAGCCAGCACTATCCGAAGACGTCTCCATGGTCATGTGGCCGGCATGACTAAACGCCAAAGGCGCACGGAACACTGTTACCTTCCCACCAAAGGTGGTCCCTATTTTTCTACTTGCATTTTTTACATGCTTTCGAACTGCTAGGTTGGCAGAAGCTGGGACAAGTAACGGGAGCTGATCCTATTATGCGGCACTCGGGATTCGAACTGCTGAACTGCCAACCTTTTAATCGACAAGCTCAGTGTCTAAGTCACTGAGCCACTGCGTCCCTTTTTCATGCCCCCTAAGGTGTGCTTATTTACATTTGATTTCTAATTTCCACTTGACCTCACACAGACTGGACAGGAACACCAAAGGGCTGGATGTGGACCAGGACTTTAAAATGCCCAGATCTGCTTTAGGGGCTAAGCATAAAGGTTAAGCATTCTACCTAATAAAACACTGCAATATAACTATTAACTTATCCACTGAGCTGTAACCTTATATGCTAGGTCGTTCCATGGTGACACAAGTGCTTTAATAATGCAACCACAGCAACCATATTTCTCTGAAAAATGCAGATCTGTGTAGGGGAGCCTTACAGATGTAGAGGTTTGGCATGGTGCCATGGGCATAGCATATTGGGGAAAGCCAGGAAAGAAGTATCAATTTGCCACAAGCCACTTTCTTCAACCCGTCCATAAACAAAATTCACAGAATGTTAATCACATGTAATTTACTCATGAAAACTAATGAGTCACTTAGGGTGAATTGTTGAGTTGTGGAATGCAAAATTGTAAGGTTGTTGCAGGGTCGCAGTTAGCTCTGAAATACATTAAATAAGCCTTATATTGGTTTTCAGAATACCAAGGGCTAATTTGGTTCATACTGCCCTACATGCCTAAGTAATTGAAAGCAGCTTAAGAAACAAATTACAGCTATCAGCCTACACTTTTAAATAGGTGGGTGAATTAAACATCACAGCAAAATAGCTAACTTTGATTCCTTTCTGTTACTGACATTCAGCAGTGGAATGGAAACACCACAAGAGAAGGACTTTTTTGTGGCAAGATATCTGGATGCACCCCTTCTTTTGAAACTGGACAGACTCTTTTCTGGATTGGACTGGATCTGGTGGAACATTTTACTTGCTTGCCCTCCAAAAAAGAGATAAATGGGCATATTTCTTGCAGCTGTGAGAACATGCAGTTGATACTTCCTGTTTCTATCTTACTCGCCTTTGCTCAGTCGGTCAGTTTGGACACTTCCAGTTGATTTGGGTAAGCAATGGCACACTTAAGACAGCAGAGGGCAGACAGAGCAATTGCAGCTGTTGACCTCCAATAAAAGGAGCAACGGCAATAGATGATGGTGTTTTTAACTACCAGGCTATCACTATTACTCTTCTGCATTAGACATGGATTCCACTAAGATAAATCCTGATGCACCAATCTTTTAAAGTTTTTTAGAGTCTTAATAGGCACATGGATAAAGTGATTCCATCAACAATTGTATTTTTGGATTTTCAAAAAGCTTTTGACAAAGTTCTTCATGAAAGGCTTTTGAATAAGCTTGTTGGCCATGAGATAAGAGGACCTATCCTTTAATGCATGGGTGTCAAACTCTATCGCGTCATGTGACATATTGTGATTTTTTTTTTGCCTTCGCAGAGCCACCGTGAGTGTGGCCTGCATGTCACGCATCTGGCCCACGGGCCACCAGTTTGACACCTCTGCTTTAATGGATTGCTGGGAGGTTTAAAAAAAGCAAAGAGTAGAAGTTAACAGATATTTTTTCTGAGTGATCTAATAAGAAATAGAATTTGAGAAAAATTGATCAGCGCTTCCATATTTCCCCCCAAATGACTTTGACTTGGAGGCAGACAATGAACCGGCCAAGTCTGCAAATGCTACTAAATTATTCAGAGTCTAAAAACCAAAAGTGATAGTGAAGAGCTCCAGAATCTCTTTAAACTGGGTGAAGGGTCAACCAAATTGCTGATGCAATTCACTTTAAATAACTGTCAGATGATTTCAATTTCACATACACACTGATAGGGCATGAGCTGCTTGTGTGGCAGCTGTGAAAAAGGCAAATTTGATGATAGGGATCATTAGGAAAGGGACTGAAAATAAACATGGCAGTATTGTAATATCTTTATACATATCTATGGCACATCAGCATGTAGAATCTGCATCTAGAGTAGGGTACCTACACTTGAAGAATGATGTAATAATTGAGATGGGCAACCAAAATGATTAGTGGGGCGAACACCTTCTCTGTGGGAAAAGGCTACAACCTTTGGGACACTTTAGCTTGGAAAAAAAGTGAAGCGTGTGGGTATGATCAAAGTGTATAAAATCAGTCATGGCATGGAGAAATTAAGCAGAGAAATATTTTTCTCCCTCTTTAAAACACTAGGACCAATGATTATCCAATGAAACTGATGGAAAAGAGACTTAAAACAGACAAGAAAATACTTTTTCACACAGCACGTAGTTAGTGTGTGGAATTCACATTATTCCATACAATCCACATTGTTCACAAAAATAATGGTAATGCCTAGTACTGTAAATCTGATACCTTTAAAAAAAGAGAACTAACAAATTTATAAGGGTACAGAGCTATGAAGGGCTACCTTTCTTGAAGGCTCCAATATTTGAATATTGGGGTCATTGTCTTCTCAATTACCAGTCAAGGGGACATCTGTCTGGTAGCGATAGTGTCCATCTCTTGCCTGCAAGTATTGGTTGGCCACTGTAAGGTAAAAATGTTCACTAAGACGACCTGTTAAAACAGAATTTTCTTTTGTTCTTATGGGCTCCTGAAAATGTAGCTGATATTATAGTTTAGAACTTTCCCACTTCCCAGGCATTGATGATATTAGCTAGTTGGGGAATGATACTTCTGAAAGCAAATAATTGTGCTCAGCACCAAGGATTCCACAGTTCAACACTGAGCTACAAATACTCTCTTCTTTATGTCTTACATATTGGTGTGGATTTTAAGTGGAAAACACTTTGATATTGGACATTGCCATGGGATATAGTGTGATGCAACTAATTTCATAGGTAATGACCAGCAATTCACTTTTGCCCCTCACTATGTTGACTAGGACTAATGGGACTGAGAGAGTCACAGGTTGCTTATTTCTGACATGCTCCTCAATCAAGTACTTGATTACTGAGAATGGAGTAAATACCATTAAATTATTTGGGGCTTCCTCCCAAATGGTTAAGTTTAAGGTTCTAATATTGATTTTTCAAGGCATATATCAGTTCTTTTTGCTACAGAGGTGCTTGGAAATACTAATAGTGCAGATTATGGACAAGTCTTGAATCTAAATTGCTGAAATAATGTAAAGTCAAACTACAAGCAGTCATTCCAAAGGAAAATAAAACTTATGACCTGGTACTCACCTTGTGGAAAGGACATATGAGATAATTGTGCACCTCTTTCTTAGCACTAAATTGTACCATTTTAATAAATACCTTATCAGAAAGATTTCTTGGTTATTAAAGCCAAGAAGAAAGAATTTAAGAAGCAGAGTCTTGGACTGTTAGCATGTGCTATTTTCTAACTATTTGATTTAAGGAAGAGTCACCTCTTCACCTCATTATCCATTCTTCTTCACAAACGTGAAGATGTTAGATTCCAAGCAGCGTGGACAATAGATCAGAGAAATCCTTCCCTCCAGTTCTTCATTTTTAGCTGCTACCTGGATGGAGCACCTCCTCCCTACACAATGCCTGCCAACTGTCCAGGAGTGGGTATGGAAGAGCTGCACTGATCTTTCTTCCCAGTTGAATGAAGGAAAACAAACAGGGATGAGTTTGGGGCAATGCCATGGCTTTGTTTGCTTTGATGTGCTGCTCAGTTGCATTGTGCTGGGAAGAAACGCAGCTTCTTTCTTTATGCAGTGTGCGCTCCAAGATTAAATCCTCAGCAAGTGCCCCTTTCCTAGGCAACAGGGGAAAAGAGCCTGGAATCTGGTCACTTCATTGATAAAACGTGAGGCTGAAAGCATGGCTATTCCTTTGTGCCCAAGAAAATCCAGTTCCTTTCAATGTACTGGAGCCAATATTGGACTTGTTTGAGTTTGTGGTTACCTAATCAGAACTTTTAGAGATTTGACTTTGACCCTGAACTTTGATCTGAATATTTGAAGAGTGAAAGATTTCTTAACTCTGATGAACTTGGCTTTTCCGAAGACTGATGAAAGGTCAGAGTCATTAGATCATTTCTGGGCATAATTTGATTCAATTTGAGTATCCTGCAGGGGTGGGTGGGCTGCTGGGGGTTCAAAGGGGTTTGGGAGAACCTCTAGCTAAGATTCTGTGCAGTTTGGAAATCCCACTCCTGGCTGGCCCCACCCACCCCACCCTGCCCCTCCCAGGAGTCTCTACACAGCCCATTTTGGATGCAGGTAAGTGCAGGGCGCGTGCAGAGGCTCAGGGAGGGTGAAAAACAGGCCTACTGGAAGTTTGGGAAAGCCATTTCTGGCCTCCAGACAGCCTTCGGAACCTGAGGAGACCATTTTCACCCTCCTGGAGGCTCAAGGAAAGACTCTGGAGCCCGGGGAGGGCAAACCCCCACCCCCCCACCGTGGTGCAGGAGGCCGACTAGCCGTGCCCACCATGGCCACGCCCACCCAGCAATCTGGCAGAGAACCCTTTGCTAAAATTTTTGAAGCCCACCCCTGGCACCTTGTAGGCTTATGGGAGATCTGGGCATCCTCCTGCACTGAGGGAAGCTAGTTTTGGCAATGATTTAATTTCTTCAATATTCCCTATGTATCATTAGTTAAGGATATTGTGGAAATGTAAATGCTCTCCTCCCTGGAAGTATCATTTTTTTTATGCTAATGTGCCCACTTGTGAGTATCTCTTCTTTTTTAAAAGAAGAGAAGGCAGCAACAGCAATGCCCCATGCCAATTACTGGAGCAGCCTAGGACATTACTTTTCATAATGTTGAATATATCTCATTCATTAAAAGATAAACCTTAATGAGCCCTTCCATGTATCCTCTCATCATCTTAGTTGGTGTTGGGCTTTTTCCATGGCAGCATCTGTGACTGCAGATGCTACTTTTTCAATAAGCCTCTTGGGCATTTTTTGTTTCTGTTTTGCCTTGCTCATTTTCTCTTTTCTTAATTTAAATGGGTGCATGGCCATAATAGATGTAGGAAACCATCAGCCTGTGGAGCAGCCACAAATGTATGTATGTATGTATGTATGTATGTATGTATGTATGTATGTATGTATGTAAGTATGTACCGTATGTATATTTCACATTTCTGAACTGTCCATCTCCTCAAAGAGGAATTCTGGACAGTGTACAATAAAACATCAAAACATAAAACACTAAATAAAAATTAAAATGTTAAAATTAGTTGGTGCTATTATAGAAAACAGAAGAGGGCTAATCCTATCTTTGTTGGATCTTGGGTGAGGGCATTTGCTTATGAATAGACCTAGCTATCTCTTTATCTTTTAAGTCAGTGTTTCTCAACTTTGGAAGCTTGAAGATGGATGGACTTCAACTCCCGGAATCCCCCAGCCAGCGCTGCTACCAAGGTTGAGAAACACTGTCTTAAGTGCTGACATCTGCTGTGGGCTATTGAGGAGGGTGAGGGCTATTAAGCATGAGTCTACTTCCTGCCTAAAAAACATGTTTCTCCATTTCTATCCATGGAACTATAATATTCTGCATTTTTAATATTTCCTCGAATATTTCATTCTTCTAGGAGAGGGTAACTTCCTACACTATGTAGCTAGCTAAAGGCTATGGAGTAGGCTAAGTGGCCCATATAGCCTTGTCTTCCAACATCTTGTCACCTTCCCCACCCGCCAGAGTTTTCTGTTTGAGGCAGATGTTTCAATCTGGTAGAGACGGGGTTGGCCATGGAAAGAAAGAGGTTTAAAAACCAGCTGAAAGGAAGAGTATGCATTGAGAATGATTTGAGGTCCAGCTATTGATGTGACTGTTATAGTGAAGGCCCATGGTAGTCTTCAAGCTATTCTCGTCATATAATTTAGAATCCCGTTTGACTACTTACTAGGCTCTACTTTCTATATTAAGTGTTGTGCAAACATCGTGGAGTGTATGCCAAACTTGGAGAGCACTTTAGCCACAGCAGGAAAACAAGCAAAGGGAAAATACAAGGCTTTGAATAATGTGTGAGTGTGCGTGCTTGAGAGAGGGACA